CTAGATTGTCCGAATTTTTATTCGACATCGTTTGTTCGGGCAATATTTTTTAACCGAACGTAAGCGATTAGATAATTATTAAATAATTACATATTTTAATTATTTCATTTTGATTTATTGCGGTGTTAATTGAACACCATGAAATATTATGAAATTCAATTAGAAAAAGCAATGTTTCATCGAAACTCAAAGCCAAATATAATCAGCTGCCACTGATAAACATTAAACGAATTAGCTGCATAAGTTTTCATTCTCAAAACGCTTACGAGACCTTAATCGCGTCCTATTAATTACGAGAATTTGAGTCATAACGCGTGTTACGGAGCGTACAGCATTGGGTTGGGACTCAGTAGTAAAGGTCCGAGTCGAGCGGACGGGTAATCCGAAATCCCTCATAACGGATTGGCCGTACGAAAAGTCAGAGAAAGCGGTGTAGCGCCGGTAATGTTCTTGCCATCCTGCTCTTTCGAAAGCGTGTCAATGCCGCGGTCAATTGTTATCGGCTGCCACGTCGCGCTCTCATGGTCGCACTTCCTTACAGTCTCGCCAACTTCTTGGCTAAATTGGCCGTGTCGTTTACGCTGCCTCGCATTTGCCGCCCGTCGAATTCATCTACTTGTCCTGACGTTCCGCGCGTCACTACTCACTTAATTCTCTACGGCAACTTTACCCTGGCAACTTGAGCGTCAAAGACCTCGTGCGATTATATTGACGAGCTGGCAAAAATAGGACTTTGATGGAAGGTGGAGGGGATAGCGCTCGATGAATTTTTAAGAAAATGTCGTTGAAATGCCTGTCCCATTCTCAAGGAGGGACGAATGTGGGAGACGGATAGCAGAGAGGGAATGATGATCGATTAGAATTAACGTCACGCAAACTTCCACGTACATGGAAATAAAAGTGGCGCTAAACTAAGGATAAAGTACGCTAAAAATACGTCGAGCCTCGTGAGCACCCTACCGTATAAATTGTCTACCGTACAAACTGTTTCAGCTGTGGGGTAGTCGAGGCGATATTCGTCCGACCTCGATTCCGAGGCATCGTCCGTGCTCATCGACGGAAAATACCAGCGACTGCGGTATACGTGCGATACGTAAGGACACTTTTAAACATTTTGCCGGTACCCGTGTATATAGGACCCGATAAACCAGGTTTATTGTAACGAAACTCGTGTCGATTATCGGGAATGAAGCGCTGTCCGTCGGTGGAACGTCCCCGTGTGTGTACGCGCGTTTTTCCTTTTCTTCTTCTTTGCTTTGCTTTGTCATTCGTTTTGTTGTTTAAGCTCTTAAATTTTGTTGTTTAAGGAGGCACTTAAGTAATCTTATGATTTTCATCGCAATTACGCGAAATAATTACGATAACCACGATTGATTCACAGGTGCGTTGCTCACAATGCGACTTCAGACGAGTCTATATAAATTCGAATAAATTTTTGGATGAAACATCTACGCTCGCGTGGTCAATGCATCTTTTATATAATGAGGCACGACTATGCGATTAAACTATTCCGTTCTTTTAAAATAAATGAAATCTATCGGCTCTCCTCGTCCTTTGATATCTCGCGCAGCGCAAATGGGTAAGATAATTACAGAGGAGCTCGACTTTACTTGCACAAGCGCGAGCTTTTCACGTGCATGCGGGGAGAAGAAAAGGCCCCTTTAAGGGCTTGAATTGAAGGGGAGTCGGGAGCAAGTGCAAGAGCGAGTAGCCGGGAAAAATCGACGCGGAGGAATGAGCGTATGTAGGTAAAGGCTCTGCTTTCTCGGGCGGCATAACCTTGCTCTGTACAGCTGATGGAGAGACATTAATACGTCTGGTGCATTGGGGTGCTTGTAAAAAGAAATGAGAGAGAGAGAGAGAGAGAGAGAGAGTATCCCCTTTAGAGAGGCTCCAGACAGACGAACCCCTGGGCAACGCTCGCCCTATCGTCATAGCAACCCCGTCGACATCGCGCGTAAAATGAACGCGCTCACATCGTGGAACCTCTTTCTCGCTCTCGTTCTTTTTCTCTCACTCATTCACTCTCTCTCTCTCTCTCTCTCTCTCTCTCTGTCGGTGCTCTCGGTGCTCTTCCTCTCGCGAGCGACGCCTCCCTCGATTTGCATAATTATTTTCTTTTAACCGAAACTCTTCCTTCTCATCAGCCACTCCAGTCAATGCCTATTCTTTCCGTTCCCGGGCTAAATTCTCTCCCGCGAGTAGTAGCCCACGTAACGGGCCGGCGTCCCGCTCCCTCCTATCTGTCTACGTGTTTTTGGGCAAATTTATCTTTAAAGTCACTTGGTGGAATGCCAGACTTGAATCATATCACTTATTATATCGCAATTCGTGCGATCCCCGATTTTTGTATTTTCATTATTATTTGTCGCTGCTCTTTCATCATTTCCGTATTCACAGCGTCGAGAACAATTAGTCGCACGATTGTATAGCATTATTGCGCCATCGTCGCAGTGGGATATCATTTTAAGGGGTAAAATGTAACGCGGGCTAGTGCGTTATTGCCGAGCATAATAATAAAGAGGTCGCGCGCAACTGCGTCGTAATGAGCCACCGAGCAATAATACATTTAAAATGCTCGTAAATTCGTAAATTATTATTTTACGATTATTTATCGCGAATCTGGGATAGAGGACCGACTATGCAAATTGAGCCATTAATACATTTAAGTAGGAGTATAAAATAATTCAAGTATTGATAGAATGTTTAGTGGATATTTAGGCTAATTTTATGAAACAATGCATTATTAATTTTAGATTTTGGATAAGCAGACTGGTTAGTGAGCTTATTATACATATAGATAATTAATTATTAATGTTAAAATAGACTTTTAATTATTATTATTTATCTTAGTCTTTATATACTTGCAAATTATCTCTCTCCCCCTGCCCTTCCCACTTCTCGCTCTGTTCTACGTATTAAGACCATGAATAATGTAAACAAATGTATATATATACAAATCCTTCAATTTCTCCATAATTCTTCTATGTATTTATTTATATCTCTTTTTACTTAATCCTTGAGTTATTTCATATCTACCAATGTGATCAGGTCTCATGACACTTTCTACATTCAAATATATACTCTTTCAAATTAAATTTCAAAATTTATTTTAAACAAAATGCGTCTTACCTTGCAACTTTTTTTCACGAATTGCATTCTTTTTAAGTAAATATTTGATCTCTTCATTGAAGCATATACGACGATAATTTGAATTTTTTAGGACTGAAATGGTCAATATTACGACAATATTACAAATATCAATCTTCAATACTAACTCAAGAAAATCAATCTTTTTAACTAATTAATAATATATTCAGTAATTGTTCGAATCTTCATAATTATATTATAATATTTATTTCTTCTTTCTCTATAATTTATATGTTTATCTGCAACAAGAAATAAATAATTATTTATACTGATCCGTTTTTGAAAGTTATTTATTTCTTTTATATATATTTATGACATTTGTCATACTTGTACACATTCATCTACAATAATACTCAATAGTTTGTCAATAACATATAAATATTTATATAACGTATCAGAAAATATTATAATTTTATGTTAAAATTAAATCAACGTTCAGATTGAATTCAACATTTCCTTAAATATTAAATAAAAATTGTGGAGCGATGTCGAGTATTCGTCTAAACGATAATGCAAAAAGTCTATCAAAATGACCAGCTGAAGAGATTTAAAATAATTTAATTTAATATGTGGTCATTGATAAAATTTTTGTATAAACCAAGTATTTGTAAGTATAGTATGAAAGATACAAAATACATATTCTACCAATACTTATCAAATGATATATTTGGAAGTTTTAACAGAATATATGTTTTTTATTAGTCGAATGCCAAAGATAGATGATACAAACTTTTTCTTTCTTTTTTTTTCAACGCTGATTCATACGATCTATACAAATATAAACATATATATATATATATATATATATATATATAGAGAGAGAGAGAGAGAGAGAGAGAGAGAGAGATAGAGAGAGAGAAGAGCGAGCGGACGATTGTACATTTGTACGTATTTCAAATTTTAATTGAGAGTATTACTTAAAATTTTAGTTTTCTACGAAAATATGTTGCATTAGAAGGCTTTCAATTCATTCATTTATAAAAAAAAGTTTTTTTTATTTCTAACAAAAATTTTGAAAACTTTGAGGGTCCAAAAAATTTGTTGGCAAAGCTCAAGAAAATTATTATAAAAATCTCGTTAAATAATTTTCAGTGGTTTTTATTTATACATTTATGGATAGTAGTTTTGTCATTTTGCAGAGCAACGCTCCAGTAAAGAAACGTGTATACGATATCCCAGGAAGACTTGTCATAGCACACTAAATAGTAGTAATTTGATTCAATACACGATGACTGAGTTTCTATAACGAGCACATATGAAAACCACTGAAATAGTACTTAATCACTCTAACTGCTCCAGTTTTACGACTTTGGTTTCTAAAGATCTCCTCGCGCAAACGTTATAACAACAGTATCACGAGTTTCCGCCCAGCAGTCGTTTAACTCAAGACGATGAAATCCACTGTTCATAAATGTCTCTGATTACTACATTAACTGTCATCTTGTCAGCTTAGCCAGCGAAGCGAGTGATCCAGAGCCTCCTTAAATTGGTCGTAATGGGATCGCGATTTGGCCGGCGATGCGCTTCCACTCCACGCACCGAGGCCACTCGCTTCAGTCCTTATACTCGACGCACAGGGATCTTGAACTCACTTGCCATTACCTCGCACCCCAGCTACCCAGTATTCCGACCATTGATTTACGCAAACGGCCTCGGCGAGACAAAAGAGAGACAGAGAGAGAAAGAGAGAGAGAGGGAGAGAGATAAAGAGTATCGATGAGCACCGAGGAAGAGAGCTCGTGATTTGTGGATTTAATTAAAGCGCCGTAACTACTGCCGGGCGAACTAAAACGATAAAACAATAATAAGAGCGTGAGTAAGAGCGGGACAAGCCCAGTCCAGGAAGGACGATGCAGAGTATGCAGGCGCTGCTGTTCCTGGTGGCGTTGGCTACCGGGGAGGTCGTTAATTCGCCGCCGGTGGGCTTTTCCATGGAGCGACGGAGAAACCACTCGAGCTCGACGGCATCCGCGGCCACGACGACGACGCAGGAAGGCACGAAAATTGAATCATGGTCGCCGAGCCAGCCGGAACTGACGCAAATGCTCTCCTACCCGAGCATGCCAAATCCGCAGCCCTTCGTGCCAGCCAACTACTACCTACCGGGTAATGCCCACCTCTCGTTTCTCTTTCTCGATTTCTTTACGAGCACACGCCTCCCCCGACAATATTACAATTTACACTAATTTCTCAGCCACTGTAAAACCATCAGATGCCCTTACTTTGGGCGATATTTTTATTATGGAGGAGCTTGGGAGTTTCCATTCTCTCTACCTAACGGCTTTGTACTAGATAATAATAATAACGACCCAACTACGCTGTAGTAAACTGCTTTAGAAATTATAATAATGTAGCGAATTTTCTAAAGCAGCCAATGTCGATGTGATGTAGCTTATCTTGCGACATGAAAGCTTCTTTAAATATACCCTTGATCCATCTTTTATTATAATTTTAATATTGTGAATTTGCATACTGTATTCAAACATTGAATTGAAAGCGCATTTTGTCTAATTTATTCTTAATAAAATACCAATTTACGGAGCTAAAATCTCCAGTTAGGTCTCGTCACACATGTGATCTTTCATTGGCGCACCTAAACAGCATTATTTAAACTTATAGGTGATCACTTCACAACACCGCCAAATGAATATCGTAGCGAACATTATAATTATCCATTCGACTCGGCCTACGCTTATCCAGTTCCACAACCTCCACCGATCGACTCTTCATTGATCCCAACGACAAAACACTTCGTTATCGTTAGCTTTATTGGCTTACTGCTCCTCTTCGCTATCATTCAGAATTCCATAATTTCTGCTAAACGGAAGGACGCATTGGTGGAAGTTCTATCAAATAGAAGAAAACGGAGTATCATGGTTTCGACGGATTTCAGCCCAATGGTATATTATTTTATTTTTTTAACGAATAATTATTACAATTACGATGATAAAACGTAGCAATAAGTTTACACTAGTAGGAAGTATGAATGCTGTTGAAATATTATTGCTGTTAATATTTCTTATTAATTTTAATAAATGAACTCCGTCGCAGCAAGTGAAATAAGTGGGGAAATATAATTTCTCAGTAACGAAGAATATATTAAAAATAGAAATGTAGATTTAAAAACATAAAAAACAATAATTTCCATATATATGATTGGTAATTTATTAATTACGATCGATTTATTATAATTTGTCTAAACATTTTTTGGACTCAATATTATCAAACATAAATAATATATGATTAACTTGATTTATTCCTAGATCTTGAAATTTATGCAATACATAGATCTTGAATATTCATTTATGGTAGTTGTATTCTCTAAAAATAGGAAATACTTTTTAATTTTTTACTTTTATAATCAAAGATTCACCAATTATAGTAAATAATTGTTATCAATTAAATTGCCGCGAAAATTCGAGTATCCACACAAATTATAGTGTACAACTTTTTAAAAAAGAATGATGATCAATGAACGGAAGTGCGAGTGTAGAATAATATTAGTAAATCTGTCTCCAAAATGAAAAGGAGATATTGAAATCTCGAACTAATATTTTGAAACTATTGCATATATAGAAAAGAGAAAAAATAAAACATATAAAGAACCCTAATACATCTAAAACATATAAAGAAAAATTTTTTAAATATAAATTGCAACTGGATTCTTTAAAAACAATAACCATAAAAATATAAATCAATCAAATATTATATAACTATGATTCACAATTAATATAAATCCGGAATATTATTTGATGAAGATAACAAATATATAAAGCAGAATGAAAATATTGATTATTTTGAGAATTTATAATTGGAGGATAGGCACTTGTAACACTGAATAGTAATTATTTAATATTTAAACATTATTTGTTATTCCAATATATTCAAATTTACTTTAGAATAAGAAAGAGGAAAGTAAACAAAAGAAAGTTTATGTTATGTACGTAATAAACATTGTGTAAATTCCAAGTCAACTCGTGGACGAGGTTAAAATGATTGAAATATTCACTCTCAGTGAAAAATCTCAATGAAAACTTAAAAATATTTTTAAAGTTTTCGAAACTTTTTTAAAAAAGAGCTGGCGAGTCAATGAAATTTTTTAAAGGTGTGGTGTGTGATCATTTAACATGTAACTTCAGTAATATTACAAAGTAAAATGATTATATAGTTGATCTTTGTCCTATTTTTATTGGTTGGGAGCCGAGGGACACAATTCTTTTACACATTGTAGTAACAAATTGAAGGTGAGAGAAATTATTTTGTTTTACAATAGTATAAGTATGTATTACCATATGATGGATTTGTATATTTAAAATAACAAAAAAAAAAAAAAAATAACAAAAAACATAGAGTATCGTAAATTAAACACGGAATTATTTGCATTAATTATGAAATGATAGAGGTAATATTAAAGCTAATAAGTAATTCCTTTATATGACATATTAATAGCAATTATTATAAGCTTAAAATACCGATTCGATTCATGACAAACATAAGAAAATTTTGTGTACATAAATGACAATATATTTTTAAACAATTCGAATAAATTAAAATAGCAAAGGCTATTTCGGATAATGGCAAAAAAATCGGAATTAAAATTGGTCTTATAAGACCAATGTAAAATATAGTTTAGATAAAAACAATAAAATACATTAATAATAATTTAAAAGAGCCATTTTATCTATATTGCAAATGAAATTAAAAAAAAATAAATAAATAAATAAAAGAAAGTGAACTTAGAATGGCAGGCATTTTTTCTCATTCAAAGTATTATGTATAAATAATACTTTTTCAATATTAAAAATGAATGATCTACTGTCCAATTTATATTCCAATTGAGATAATAATAATTTGCTTATTTAAAGCTGAGTTTTGCTACGACATTTATAAATAAAAGTTTCAACGGTATTAATAAAAATATTGAAGAACGGAAAAAATGCCAACAAAAGGAAACGTTGCAAGTCGAGAAACTAATCGATTTAAGCAAATTAAATTTTTTAAATCTTCAATAAATTACAATTGAATTTATTGAATTTCATGCATTTCTTCATTTTTGAGTAAGAAACTTAATAATTATTACATAAGTATTTTTATTCATAAAAAAATTAATATAAACCTAGTCAATCTGTTTATTCTATGTTTCTTATCAAACAATTTAGCTTCACACACCTGCATGCATAACGAATGAAAAGCGCATTCTTCAAAGTGTATGTGTTTGAAATTAAATTAAATATGAAAGCGAGGATTACAAAATATAAAGATATATGAAACCAAATAGCTATCGACAATAATTGTTGATATGCGCCGCTAAATGCCGAACTGCTAATATAGAATTAAATTTGTAATATTTCCTGTGCTGTACTAGTTCTCAATCATATTTTCAGTAACGTGAACTGCTTTAACAAACTATTTTATTCCAATTTCATTAATTGATTTATTTTCCCAATCCTCTTCTATTATAACTATTATACTAAGGACATAGGTTATTTAGCTATATAAAGTGTTAAAAAAAAAAATTATGTAAAAAAACTTTGTATTTCTTAGAATATTATACTACATCTTATTCTAAACATTATTTTAAAATAAATTATTTGTTTATCAATTTTTAATTCACTTAGACAGATGGAATGTCGACTATTAATAAAATGATAGGCTGAAAATGAAATAATTATAGTCTGCATAAAATATTCTGGCAGTATTTATTTAATTATTTTTATTATAACTGATATCGAAAAAATTCAGCAAATTTATATGTATTTACAATAAAAAAGAATTTAATTTTCATATTTTAAACTTCATTAAAATACAAATGTTTGCTGATTTGACGTTTTATTTTTCTAAATATGCGCATGTTCAATGAATACTATTTATCGACCTGCTTTAACAAGCACAAAATGATAAATATAAAGAAATACCAAAATAAGGGTGTTGGCTTTTCCCAGACTCCAGAAGTAGAAACGACATTAAACGAAGATGCTCGTGTACGCTGCATACAACGAACATTATGTTATGAAAATCGGAAGCTTCACGAGGATTTCGGTTATATTGGAAATATTCTGGGAAAGTATTTAACGTAAGTTTAACATTTTTTTTTTATCTCCTTGCAAATGTTAGAAACTTTTGATCATTTAAAGATATAATAATAGAATGATTGTGTACATATTTTGTTCGATGTCTTTAAAATAAAAAGTTTTAGCAATTTCATTTAACTGCCCGCTTATGGATGGGAGAAATGAATTATTGATATGCTTAAATTTTGTACGGATTCCGGATGTTTCCATAAATATTCATGCAATAAAAAAGTATCGGCGAGTATGACTTGGTTTCAAAAGTTCTAGTATTTGATTTATTTTTTGTGCATCCGAAGTTTGAGATCGTGGCAGCAGTTAATACACCAAATGAAATTGTAATTCAAACTTTTCCATCCATTTTTAGTCGTAAGAAATTTTTTAAATAAACATACAATTTCGAAGAACTCTAAAGTAAATTACTTTCATGTATTAATTATTAGTTGTGTATGTATCCTCGATATAATAAAATTTTTAATAAACTTCTCAAATAAGGCTGTACTTGCGTAAACAACGACGAGAATAAAATACGAGTAAATAATGGGAAGCTCGTAGTTAGATTTCACTTTGCCGCAAATGCAAATATAATTTTAATTTCCTTCCAAAATACAATATATTGTTTGAATAAACATGATATATAATGCAATTTAATTTTCACATTAAAAGACAGTCGTATTTTCAAATATTTGTACCTTCGAAATATCTAAGAATAAAATTTTTCTATTTACACTTCGGATGATTTCGTTGAATAGGCAAAGAAAGAAAAAAATTAAAGCAAGAGAGAAAAATTGTTTTCGAAATTTGCTTCTTCTTAGACGCCACATGCAAGGTTACCTAAAAGAATTCTCGCCGAGCTGGGATCGACTCGTAATGGATGCGGCCAACGCTGGGATGAGAGGCGAGGATTGCAACGTCATTTATCGAGACTGTAATTTTGATAATCCTTACGAGTTGGTTGGAAACGACGCTGAAGAGAGTGAAATTGTTCTGAAAACGAAGTTCCGCATGCCGCCACAAATATGAACGCAGCTGAAAAGTTAAATACACTTATGCACTAGGCGATCCTTATTACCGGAAGTGAATTATATTTTGTTCTAAAAGGTAGAAGGAATAATATTCGGGAGCACATACGCGATTCACCGTTTCTCACAATGTTTGTTTACATTATAGAGATGTATTATAGAGATATTTATTATTGTGAATTGTATAATTAAATAATAACGTTCAGATGATTACTATTATTATTTAGTTCTAGTTGGTAAGCGCCTTATACATATAAATTTCTACTTTATTCAGTCAAATGAAATCCAAATACTAAACTGTCTATAGATGTATATATAGATTTGCGTTTGAGAATGTAATTACTAGTAAATAATAATTAAATATATTTGTGTAAATACTTATGCTTGCTGATTATTAAACAAAAGGCTTAGCAATAATAGCAAATGGCAATAATAATAATGTAGCAATGGTTTCAGTAGTTTTAGAAAGAAGACAAGCAGAGTAATGGTTTCTCAATTTTTAATTACAATACGTTGTTTTGCTTGTTTTTATCGCTACAAACATCGACATCCAGCCTGAACTATTTTAGACAGCACACTCTGCTCTCTACGCACTTAAACGCTCTCTCGCTCTTTTATTCATTCGCTTCTTCCTCATTTTCACGTGTCTTTCTGCATTCACACTCTCACTTGGAATCATATTACATTATATAAAAAATATCAAATCACGAACGAAAACAGAGATTAATGGAGACAATGATAAAATTGCGCTGGTACTTCAATCTTCTCTCGTCAACTAATTACATAACACTATCGTTATTATCGTTCATAACATTAAGGCATTACGTATTTATAAGTTCTCCATTGCTCCGTATCGTCGCGCTATACAGCAATTATATCTCGCTAAGACGCTTCTTTTTTTGTTTTTATTTTTATATAACTTAAATCATATACGGTGAGATCGCTCGTTGCAATAGTCCAGGCTTATAAACACAAAGAAATAGTCAAACGCATACAATTGTAGATCGAAAATGGAGTTGCGGAGTTGTCTAGTCGACAATTTTACTTTTATTTCAATATTCTGCGCAAGCGATTAACCACCCTCTTTATTGCTCATTCAAATTACCTTTGATCGAGAACTCGCATTGCATTGAGCAAGAATTCGAAAATCCACCATTTTGCGATTATTTTAACACCTCAATTGGGGCGAAAAAGCATCCAAATCTCTTTGAGTGAAGGCGCTTTCTATCAGCCACAAGTTATTTGTGCGTTCAAATGCGAATCACTCGTCCTTGAATGATCGCTGCGTTCAATCGTCATCGCAAAAAAATTATTTTCAATGGTCGAGGTAATTATTTGTCCTTTCAACCATGTACAATTGTGTTTTGAGAGTGGGAAATCGAAAAGGAAACAAAAAAAAAAACAAAAAAAAAAAAAAAAAGGAAGGAATCTAAAGGAAAGACGGCGTTGTTCATTTTAAAAAGTCAACAGAGTAAATAAATTGAAGATGATAAACGCGTAAACAATATAATTTATTACGAATAGCAAAAAAAAAAAAAACATCACAACATAACAAAAATATAAATGTCTGAATCCGGCTGATAGTACCGTTAATTAATTTAATTAAAAGAAGAAAAAAAGTAGAAGAAATATTTAAAAAAATTGTTTTCTATTTGAAGATCCTTTTTGATTGCTCTTTAATATGTTTATATCGAAATAAAATCTTTGGCGCGCAAATACACGTTATCCATTATTCGTCTATTGATTTTTCTTTTTTATCCTCTTCTCGTTAATGAAGCGCGCGCGCGCGCGCCAAATTGTCGTGATTCGTTTTAAAAGAATTGACACTCACATACGCACGCACGCTCTTGTCTCTAATTATTCGTACATCAAATTTTATTTTATCCTCTTGTGGCGACATTAGCGCGTCAGAACTCTATTCTTCATCTGGCAGTTATGTAATTAGATATCGTTACAAAAGTATTACTATGTACAAGCTCCAGAAACACTGGCCTCACTCGCGTTAGACTCGCTTGAGTCGTCAGGTCTTTAGAGACTTCTATTTTAGAAAAGGAAAAGCTACATAGATTGCCAATATTGTCGATTTATGGTCAAAGCCCATAGACCAGTATGGACCTGGACTCATCGGATCCAAGCGCGAGTTGGTCACTTCGCGAGAATGGCACTATTCCTTTCGACGAATCGAACTTCTTAAACAAATGTACGTGAAGTGGTCGAATAATAATTGCTTTTATTTCTTGTTATTTTAATCATCCCATTTCAGTAAAAGCACGGCCTTCACTTTTCGCGCAAGACGAGTATCTCTGGCAATTGTGAAACAATTATCTAAGCAAGACCAAGATCGAGGCATCGAAGAGCTCGGAGGCCGAAGCGGTTCGTGTTCGTTCGGCTCGTTTAAAAGAAAATAACTGGCGTATATCATAAGAAATGAGAGAGAATAACGCATCGAAATAAGATGAGGAGGAGGCAGAAGAGAGAAAGAGAAAATAAGGCGTATTATCGGTAGAGTAAAGAAATCGAAAGCTTGAGTATTTTCTGGTATAAAAACGCTTGTTTACTTTCTTAGTCGTTTATTATCTTTAAATTGTTCATCCTTACTGTCTGTAACCATCGATACTGTAAAAGTTATATTGGGAGAGGAATATTATCTTGATTAATTTAATCTCTCTCTCTCTCTCTCTCTCTCTCATGCACACACGTATACACGTACACGTACACGCACACGCGCACGCACAAATGAGTTTCGTCTTTGTCGTATTTTCGCCTCTTTTTTCCCATATCCTTTCTCTTCGTATGATTTTCTATTCTCACGTCACGAAGGAAGCGTACAATTTTATGCGTTAAACAAATTTATACGACGCTTATACAAGTTTATCCGAGCTCGAAACTCATAGTCGGAAATGGTTCAATCGATCGTCGAGCCTACCATATAAAATGAATCCACATTACGTCGACTAACACGATAATCGCTTAATCAATTAAACTATGAATTGATATAATAATATTAATATTATCAATAATAATATGTACAATATTCTAATGCTATTTGTTCTCTCCAGTATGCTCGAAACGTGACACATGCCCGGATCTTATAAAATATTATCCTTTATGCCATTGTTCATTCATTCTCTTAACCCATATCTTCTGCTGTTACTTTTATAATAATAAATTTATAATGATCTTAGCAATCACGTCTCTTTTCCTCTGCTTGTCCCTAAAATTTATATCGTTAATCAGCTTTCCTATTTAGGCTTGCAAAATCTTGCTAAGTTCATTGCCACGATGAAGATATCAGCTCGGTGATTGGCATAACACGAGCCGAGCCTCGATTCTCCTCACGTTCCTTTATATAAAATACGACAAATTATGAGTGGTCACGCTTCTTTAGGCGAATTTGCTTTATCGAAAACAATGGGAAGCTTTTATGTTTATTGTTCATTGTCCGCAGGCTTGTGTTTCTGTTCTGGAAAAAAATATTGATGCGTTGAGAAAGAAAGAAAGAAGGAAAAAAAAAAGAAGAAAAAAAAGTACGGTATCGGACACTTATCAATCAACAAAGATTTCATTCGAATTATTATAATTTTTTTTTTTTTAATTTTTTTATTTTTTATTAGATCTTTTCTTTAAAAAATATCAATAGTAATAATAAATAAGTAGTGAAAAAAAAAATGAACTAAACGATTTGGAAGACGCGACACGTTACGAGCATTCGGTCTCGAACAACGACTACTTATAAACATGTGCGTGGATAAATTTTCGGAAGGTTTGGTAATAAATTGTACAATCGGTCTGGCGAGAGAAACTGGGAATGTCATAAACACGAAGAAACTTAAGAGCAAGCAATCCGTGAAATAAGATAATCCACTTCTTCGTCTCAACAATTTTCTTCTCTTATGCAAAAGAAAATCGATTGCCGAAAGTAATTCCAAAAAATTAATGTTTTTGCCCTTTTTCTTTATCTAATGCTCGGAAATCAGCAGCTGTGAAAACACGAACAATATTCTGATACTCATGTATCTCTTCTTCGTCTGCTTGAAGTCGCGAAGCAGCAAAAGACAAATTATCATGAAATTATCGCTTCATCATCGAGAAGACAAACGTTATAACGTATCTATGTACATCTTACGAGGCCAATTTGTGGCTTATTTCTTACGTTTTACAAATTTCTTCTTTATAATCGAACGACGAAAACGTAAGAATAAAGATATTAACTAGACAGACCAGTCATAAGTTGTCATGCTAATATTATAGTGTAGTTAGACGGCCGATACAATTATTATCGACGTTTCATCACCATTTTATTATCGCTTAATCATCATTTTATCCATCCTCACCGATATCTGTATCGTCGTCGCTTTCACCTCCCGCTCCTTAAAATTTATCGACAGTTTGGATTCTTGTTTAGAATCTGCCTGACAATCCCTCGCTTAATCAGTCAGAAAAATTAATTTCCTTGTTCATATCCCCGGTAAATATTATTTTCAAAAATTGGACGTTTAGTGTTATATTTATTTATTTTTGTTTTTTTTTTGTTTTTTTGTTTTTGTTGTCATTTTTACTTTTTAGTTTTTATTCAGAAACAAATATACGCGTATAACTTTTAGTTAGCCGGTGAAAACGACGAGATCCAATACCACGAATCCACAACTTGTTACACGTATCACGCAAAATGAAAACAAAACAAAAAAAAAAAACAATAAAAAAATTGATAAAGGAAAAGAAAGAATTAAAAAAAAAAAAAAACAAAAAAAAAAAACAAAATGAAAGCATGACACTGACATTGTTTTCATGTAATTCAGACATCTCTCCGCCCATCTCGAAAAATCTGTTCATCTACGATGCACGCACACCACGGTATGTATCTCATGTTAGATCTAGCATACTTAAAAAATTATGCGAAAACCAATTCTACTAAATGGTGGCTATTCGTTCGGCTGACTTTCCTTACTGTACACACGTTCTTCGCATCTTTTTTCTTTTTTTCATTTTTCGTGTCTTTAATTAGAAATCGTCTTATTATTCAACATAAGTGTCGTTCTCGTCTCGCTCTGCTCTTGACAAACATTACTTTTCGTTCCGTTATTATTTTTAATAATCCTCGCCCACTCGTTATGCTGGACTAGAGCATAAGCCCTGAATTTTTAGTGTGGGGAGAAAGTGATTCGTAGATCCATTTGGTCTCCAGGCTCGACTAAGTCTAACATTTTACTGGCCAATCTTGAAGCACCGCCAAGATCGCACGAATTCTCACCGCGCCTCGTGTCTCTAGTATACATATTATCATTATCATTATCATTATCATTATCATTATCATTATCGTTATCGTTATCATTATTTATTATTTATTATTTATTATTTATTATTTATTTATTATTTATTATTATTATTATTGCATTATCCATTTTCTTATCCGGCGCAACATTATCAAAATGTACGTTGCGCGACATTCTTTCGTCCCACCTACACTTTAACAAATGTATTAACATAAAAAAAGGAAAATTAGGAATCCGTGAGACACTCGTTATTTATGTTAACAAGCAATAAAGATTCCACGATTTTAATCGCACACGGAAAACATAAAACAACAATATTACCTAATAATTTTCTAAACTCGCCTTTTCGTTCAAAAATCATTTTCCGAATCGAAATATTTCCGAGTCACCGGCGAGAAAAGGCTCGACAGACTTTATTTCGTTCCAACGATTGCCGATGATTAAGCGATTTCTTATTTTTTTATCCTTTGTACTTAATATTCACATTTTCCTTATTTTCTTTTTCTATATACATACATACATACATACACGCATACATACACGCACGCACGCACGCATGCGTACGTACGTACAATAACATCCATTCGTCCACGCGTGCACGTATGCATGCGCGCGGGCGTGCGTGAGTACACGCGCGCAAACAAACACGCACGCACACGAGCACCCGCGCAAAAACAAAAACACAAATACAAAAACGCACTCTCACGCGAGCGCGTGGGTGAGTGAGTGGTTGGGTGCGTGCGCGCGTGCGTGCAGGCACGCATGCATGGACACACTTATGTGTGTACGTATCCATATGTATATATATATATATATATATATATATATACATATTTATGTTTTCACACATATGCGGTCGGCGCGCGCGCGTACGCGTATTAATGTATGCGCGCGTACGTATGTAATAATAAGAGACACGCAGCTGTCGGTGGGCTTTGCTCGATGGCATACGAGGGGGTTTGGCGGGTCCCCTGTGCATTGTAGTTCAACGATGTCGCATGGTTATCGTAGTCAAAGAAGTTGTGATCGTAGTTGATGTGGCGTCTCGGGAAACACTAGTTTGTGGTTACCTCCTGTCTCTGTATAGGAGATAAGTCTTCATCGCTAGTGGCAGGTTCAATTCGATAATTTTCTCCTCCAGTCGTTCCTTGCCGATTCGCTGCCGAATCACTCGTCGACACAGGTCCATAAGCGGTAAAGGTTCGGCTGGAAGCAAAGTGATAACACGTGAGTATAGAGGCGCTGGCTCAAAGGTTGGGTTACCAAGTAACGGGGGGTGGTAACGTCGAATACATCGAGGCTACACCCCGACGCGCTAATAATAAGTTGAATGTCTTACGATCAAGGCCACCGATGTATTTCATGGTAATCTCACAATGGCCCCAAACAGCCGAAACAATAGGGTATAGCTTTCTGCCTTTGAGACCTCTAAACGCTACACCTAGGTACTGGCCCTCTACGACAAATGCTAGCGTACCCTCGTCCATGTCGAGCACCACTGCAAAAGACATACAATAATAAGAATAGGAGATGAGGGTCGACATTGCTACATTAATATGGGCAACAAAAACAAAAATAAAGAAGTAAAAAACAAGTGAGTGCTGCCAACCCAAGAATTTGTCAGGAACGATAAATGACTCTTCTGGCTTGAGGAGCGCAGGATATGTAACTCCATTGTTGTTCTTCGAGTCGTGGTAAAGCTTATTCCTGCCAAGGTCCCAGCCCCAGCTGAGCTCGTTATTTCCCACAAGACTTTGATAGCCGACGCTGTGGAGCGGAGCGTCAGCCGTTGCTACGCCGACGACGGCATGTGTACCACGTTGCCTTGTGCTCCAGTGGAGCTCCCACACGTGCATGCCCTTTGTGTAACCCACCTTCCCTCGTATGCAGTCCGTACTTTGCGCGACTGGATGTCGGTGAAAGGTCAGCTTGTCGTCTTCCTGCAATAAAGAGGGCCGGGATTAATATCGTGGAGATCAGATGAGTGGTCGCCTGGCCCGCCCAGTCTCGATAACGTCGGTCTTGATAGCGCCACGGGACGGGGGCCCTTAATCGCCCTATTCGACAATGATTAGTCCCGGGGAAAGTGGTGTGGAGCGGTTGGTGGGAGAGGTGGGGAGGCGAGACGGGACTAGACGAGACGGGACGGGACGGGACGGGACGGGACGGGACGAGACGGGACGGGACGGGACGGGACGTGACGGGATGGGATGGGATTGGATAGAATAGTATAGGATGAAACTGGCTGGCTCGGGACGGGGCGGGGGCGATTAATAAAGAGCGGGGCCGAGCATTTCTAAATCCTGGCAAGGAGGGCCCCGGTTGTTGCCGAGTAACGAGTACCGCAGCCGTCTCAGTGCTCCGTTCGGTAATTTAACGAGGATGACATGGCACTCGTCCGGGATATCGGCTAGCGGAATGGTGGCGGCGTCCTCGTCGAGTCATCGACGGAGAAGGGCGCGAGCCGGTTACACGAACAGACTCGTTCTAGTTTTGCCTACGTACCTTGACGAATATGTTCAAGCTCCGGTCGTCGGCGTTCCAGCTGTGATGTATTTGCGTTTCCCGCGAGGCTGGCGGCATGTCCAGCAGCACATCGAGGCGCGCCGGTCTGGAGAAGTGCTGGGACAACTCGCGTGGCACCACCGACTTGTAGGCCGCGGCACCACCGCCGACCCCGACTCCACCTCCTGCACCAGCACCGCTCTCGCGCGATACGCTTTTTACGCCGCCTGCAACGACAAATAAGGAAGGATGCATTAGCGACGATGGGCTGAGTATGATGGGCTGCTGCTAATAAAAGGTCGACCGGGTTCGGCCTCGACGGGCCCGAGCACCGCCACTTCCCATCCACGCTCCTTCAAATTCCGTCTCTTTACCCTCGACCTTACATTCATTCGAATGGCTTCGCGGTTAATGCGCGCGGTCATTGCACGCGAGACTCGTGCTCATTTCACATCACAAGCACTTCTTTACGCGTACGGGCGGCGGGATTTTTTAGAGTTAACCACTTCGCATACGTTGTCAGTTCTCGATTTTAACCTGCTTTAATGCACTTTTGAGCGCGTCGTTTATCATCATCATCATCATCAACATAATCCTCATCATTATCATCATTATCATCATTATCATCATCATCATCATCATCATCCTCCTCCTGCACTTCTTTGTCTTCTATCACTTCTTTATTTTCTTTCGTTTCTCTCTCTCTCTCTACTTTCGCATCTTCTTCACTGAAATCGAGACGTTCAAATCGAATAATTGCGCTCTCAGCTCTCGGAATACCACCGGGAGAGAAGAAGCACGCCGCCGCCGATGTAAGATGTTCGGCGAAGTCAGTGTCCTTCGTAGAGAGTAGAGACATGTCTCACGGTGGAAAAAAAAAGGAAAAGAAAAAAAAGAGAGAAAAAAATCACCTTTGCGCACCAGACAGTGGCTTATTTCGTAAATTTATAAATTGACATGCGCTGTAATGTAACAATTCTTAAATGAAGTAAGCGCGAACTGACAGGCCCAAACATTTGTTTATGCGTAATTTCATAACTTGCTTTTATTAAAATTATAAAGAAAGGTTACGCAACAAATGTTTACTTAATTGCCTACGAATAGAAAACAAAGAGTAATCAAGATTTTCTGGAAATCCTTATATGGGCATCTAAGTGGAAATTACAATAGTTTAAAAACAAAGAAAACTAGGTTGGTTAAATTATAATTCAAAACCAAAACACACGTGGTTACTTATGTATAGCAAAACTGAACGGAGAATGCATTCTTGTTTTGAGGATGATGAAAACAAGTGACGAAAATTTTCCGAGAAAAAGTGAGTTTGGTAAAAGGCCTCCTTGGGCTTTTTCATATTTTATCGACGGAATTAATTTACCTCTTGTTCTAATAATGCGAAATATCTTCCGTCTCATTTTCACGGTTATTCGTTTGCGTTTATGTTGACAACCTTGTCTCATGTTGACTCGAGCTCTCCCTCTCTACCACACACACTCTCTCGCTCTCTCTCTCTCTCTCTCTCTCTCACTCTGTCTATATATATATATATATATATATATATATATCTATCTATCTATCTCTGTATCTATCTTTCTCTTTCTCTTTCTTATTTTTTCTCACTGAACTAAATGGATACCCGATAGCACGTCACATGCTAGACTGAACCACTGAAAATTGTCGCCTCGACTCAATGCTTTAACCCTTCTTACAGCGTTTCTCTCGGCAGACGAAGACCGATAGTAAGCGAATGAGAGCGAGCGAGCGAGAGAAAGGGCGGCCGGTAGGAAGGGAGGCGAGAGAGCGAGGCAGAACGATGGCGCAAGGGGCGGGAAAGGGAGAGAGGGAACGAGCGAAAGAGAAAGAACGGAGGAAAGAAATAGAGCGAGTGAAAGAGACACGAGAATGATGTACGTAAGATAGGTTAGGCGAGCAGTCGGTAATTGTCGGAAAAAACAAGCAGGCTCGCTCGACAGTAGAGGGCGCCCTGAATTAAAGCCCTTATAAACTTGGCGCTAGGCTACTCATCCAAGAAACGATCATCCATCTAGACACGCACGCACACGCGGCCCCATCTCCCATCTCCCATCACACATTCCAACACCGACGCTCTCTTCTATTATTCTGGCAAAGCGACCTGACATCTGCTAATCTTTGCCACTCTACTAATTTATCTGTAACGGGCTTGTATGAGCACCGGGCTATTTTTCGCGTTTATTCACCGTCTCTTTTACATTTTGTTTTCGCAAACTTTCCAATAATCGAGCGACACCTTCCGTAAAAAATTAAAAACAAAGACTGAATTATTAGGTTGTCTTGTCTTTTGTTCTTTTTAACATGAGAGGCGCGCTGAGGAACCGATTTGGCAAATAATAATGAGAGCGCGTGAACAAGGGCGAAGGGCCAGCCAGCCAACGGAATTCGATATTTGTCCATAAGAACGACGGTACTGGGGTCCGAGACAAGGCCCACCGAGCCTGGAGAGGACGTTGGGCGTCGGTGTATTATTGCATTTGGCTGGCGTAGGCTTGGGAATGGTGAGAAGGACACCGCTGCACCGAAGGCACACAACAAGCATTTTGTGGATTAGGAGACAGGCGATAGAGGAAGCTGTTGTTGGATTTTACGCAGGCAAAAGGTTAGAAACGTGTCGGGTCTTATTTGCTCGAGCAGCTGTCTCCACGATGGCCCGCGTTTCTTGTTCCTCAAGGGATATGGGGTGGATGGTTGAACGGGGGCGGTGGCGACGAGGCGGGGAGGGAGGGGGTGAATGGTGCTGCACGGTGATGACGGTGGTGGTGGCGATGGTTAGGGTGATGGTGAAGGCTGTGCTAGTGGTGATAACAACGACGACGACGACGACGACGACGACGACGACGACGACGACGACGACGGTGCTGCTGGCAAAGGAGGGGGAAGCGGACACGGACGCGAACCTGCTTTTGACGCGTTTTTCCTAAAGGTTAAGGCAAACAGCTCCCCTCCTTTACCGAGCCACATGCACGCACGTACACGCACGCTCGCTCCTCCCGCTTCGTGGCTCACGTAGAAAGTCTTGGAGATTACGGAAAAACTCCCTCACTCCAGGTTGTGGAAGAAAAAGGGACATAATGCGGTAGCGGTCAGGTAGCCACAGCGCACCGTAAATTTTCAACAATGCAAGCGCGCACTCGAACTTAATCGCTCTGTCTTCTGCTTACCTCTCTCGGAGATTCTCTCCTCCTCCACCTCCTCCTCCACCTTCTCCTTCTCATTCCCCTCCCACAACCCGCAACCGACTCCCACCGCATTCGTGCTTCCCTCCCTCACCTACCACACGTACCTCGCCCGCGACTACCGCACGGATTAATGAGAGGAAATGGCGAATTAATCTTTATCGATGGGGTATTTCTTGGAAGTTCGATGTGCCGAAGAAAAAGACCGGAAAGTAAGAGGTTTTCTTCCCTACCTCGTAAGTAACACGCGAGAGAAGACGTTTTAAGTTTACGCTGATAATGCCGGCCGATTACTCGATTCCCAGCGATGGCATGTCGACTTCCACTTTTTAATTTCTGTATATGCCTCACCGACATTGCCAGACATAAGCCAAGAACTTGCACAATGTCGAGAAGCTTGGATTTTCAAACGAGACAATCTCCGAATGAAATACTTTGGTAAGATTCGAATTAACCGGCAAGTTAATACATTTTATTGCTCGATATGAGTAATTTGATGGCACCTGTGCACAGCTTTGAATAAATATTTGCTGTAATAGCCAATGGCATTGTCCAATGAATAATTCTACGCACTTCTCTATTGTCGAATGTGATAATTGAGTAACATTGTATGTTTGAACACCAATAATTATTACAACAATTTGAAATAAATAATACAAAAACTTTCCATACTTATAAACTGGCTGCACATAACGTATATTTAACTATCCCCGCCTGCTGTTATCATCACTGTTCTTGTTCTTGTTCTAACTGTTATTTTTGTCGTTGTCATTATTGTCACTATTATTATTATTATTATTGTCGTTTTTGTTATTGTTACTATATGTGACGAGGAGAGAGGGAGAGGGAGAGAGAGAGAGAGAGAGAGAGAGAGAGAGAGAGTAAATGAGCCGTATGTTAAATATAAAATCTTTAGAGGATTATGTAACAAAATAAATATACAAATGAGCAAAATTTAAAAATAAACTCTACACTCTATTGGCTTTACCGAAACGTATTGCTCATTTTGAAAAGAAAATGTATTTCGGATGGAAGGTCATGTTACCAAAATGGCCTCTCATAATACCCCGATTTTCTATTTGCTTTTTACGTTGAACGTGCTTTCAGAAGCCGAGGAATAATTAAAATCGGTCTACGAATGGCAAAACCGCCAGATGGTAAACGCGTTAGGTCAGCGCAATTGGCTTCCGCAAGCCAATCTGAATAGAACGCTAATAACCTCGATAACACCATTTCCTTCCATCATTAGTTCCGCACTTTTTTCACGTATCGAAATATTCGTGTAAGAGCAGTCGCGCGAACTAAATTCTATTTCCTCGGCAGTCTGCCACCTCAAATTTCTTTTAAATGAAAAGTCTCCCTAGCAGGCGTTACTCTGGCTCCCCACCTCCTTTTCTTTTCTTATGCCAGAGAAAAGCAGTGTGAATCATTAGAGGCTCGCATCTCACGAATGACGTGCTCCGCGCGAAAAAGCCTGTCCTACGCATGATAGATTGAATATTTAACTGATGTAATAATATACGGAGACTTGCGCAACCGCCACCAAGAGCGCGACCCTGAACCTACAACTGTCATGGCAACAACCTCATTATGATTCTTGTTTTCCAATTTTTTTTTTTTTTATTTCTTTCTTAACATACTTTTTATAAAAACAAAATTTCACTTTTTTCTTTATAAAAAAAAGCCGAATGCTGTCAATGTCATTTTAAGAGTGTGCTTATTTTGCAATTTAATTACAAAGTGTTAGGCAAGCAAGCAGCTACTTTTTTGCCCTTCAATAGCTAAGGAAGGATACTTTACACAGGAATATGTACGGTAAAATCTCTGCTACTCTTAATGTCGATTATGGAAAATGAATTGCGCCTCCAAAAACAAAAAACACAAACAGAAAAGGGAACGAAGTTTAAAATGAAATAAATAGCATTAGCAGTGTCATTTGTAAAATTAATTCAATGCGTATGTAAATGTCAATTGACTAATGTCCGGGGAATAGTAACTGCAATTGCAGCAGTTTTACATATGTATTTACACACATGTAGGTGCTCGGGATCGCGCTATCGTGCAGCCACACGCAAGTACTTGTGCGTGCCTGCGTGCGTGCGTGCTTGCGTGTATATATATAAGGGGGGGTGGCTGATAAAGGGGGAGAAGGAGGAGGAGAGGGGACGTAGAAAGGTCGTAATACAGAATGCAATGAAAGGAGCGCGCGATGGCGTGTCGTAAAACGTATGACTCGCGCAAAATGAAAATGCCAATCGATGTCAAAACTTTTGTCGTAAAAGTCATTCCTCGTACGTGAGATGAGTTGCGTCTGTGCTAATCAAGTAAGTCTAGCCGACAGCATCGCGCAGTCTCAAGAAGTGCACCTCCTCCCGATGCAAATTGTCTTCCTGTCGCCTTCGTCGATGATGATGGCGAGACCGCCATTAATTAGTGCACTTTGCAACAATTCTTTACCGCTATCGCGCTGAATTAATCAGGGTTGTTATGTTATTCCGATCGATGCCTCCCCCTTAACTAGCAATTACGTGACAGTTGGACTTGTCCCTTTGTCAGCCGCCAATAAGTATGTGTAATCCGCATGTGTAAATATATCAACCCCCACGATGTTCGTAACCGAGTCACACTTGGGCGTAAGCGAGCTATTAAAGTAGTCGTAAGTCCGTCACGATACGCAAGATTAATGTAAGTAAATATGACGTAATCTGTTAGGTATATACGACTTAAATCCCCTAGCATTGAAAAAGCTCGATAGGTTTTAGAATGGCAATTGGCCGAGCTAATTGGTTCGATATTCTGCGCATCGATATGCTTAATAGGAAAAACTCAGTGGATAATCAATTAGGCGGCTACGCGATTTATAGACAGATATGTCTTTGTTACACCGCGCAGAATATTGAAAAAGAAAGAGAGAGTCTCGTCATGTACAATAGACGCCAAAGCCGCTCGAATGCGTACGAATATAGCGAGAGAGCGAATTCGCCAGTGGAATCGATTCCTCGCGGCTGCCGGAGAGATTAATCGATCGATCTTTACCTATACGAGTTCGCGATTTGATCGTTTTTCTCGGCGCACTTCCCCTCGTAACAGCCTATTCACGATTTGCCATGGAGTTTCGCCCGCGGCAATTTTCCACGCCATCCGCCTTTTATTTCTCCCACACACACACACACACACACACACATACGCACGCGCGCACGCACACGCGCGCGCGCACACAGGCACCACACACATATAACATGGCGGGGGAGGAAACGTCGCCTCTGCCTCCTCTATCGTATCAATTTGCGAATTCCGATTAAGCTTTCAGTCCAAGAATTTGTTAATTCGAAAATTAACAACCCTAGCTCGCGCGACTAGCTGTTGATGCAGCAACAGAGGAAGCAGAGAGTGCAGGTTGCGCGAAGCTATGCAAGCGAGGGAGAAAAAAAGCAAAAGGCTCGCGAGAGGGAGGGGACTACGGCCAGGAGAATAAAGGAGGAGAAATAAAGAGAGCTGAGAATAAAGGATGCCGAAATTCTACGAACGGATGTGATTCAACGGCTCCCCTTCGCCCCCCCCCCTTCACCCCCGCCCCATCTGCCGCTCGCGCTCACACGTACGCGCGCACACTCGTTTCTCTTTCGCCCTCTTCTCATTCTCTGTTTTGTTCGCGACTGACAGAAGGGACGAGCCCTGGACGAGGAGAAAACCTGCTTACAGTCTACCTGGCTATAAGCAGGTAGTTTAAACGGACCCGCGCGAGACCTTGACCCTGGCTAAAGCCAGTCAACTTACAAATTCAACTACCTTCTCTTCTATCTTTACTCTACCTCCAACTTACTACTTCGGTCATATTTCATGCATGTATCCTGAATTCGCATGCACGTTCAACTACATATGCGTATCAATGGCAGGGAAATAAAAATGATTACAAGTATTGGATACATAAATTTCCCGGTCCCTTCTCTCCGATCGTTTTATCCATATTCTTCTATTAATTCCCTAATAATTATGGATTCAAATACAACAGTTTACTCAGTGCTTGTGCCATGTGATATTGATTTAACGAACTTCTGACCAACTCTTTGAGAATACGTAATTTATTTAAGGAAGGAAAATACTTGATTATCGTTCGCTTTGATGATTGTTCAAGATATTATAACCCTTGAGCTCTTTTGTTTGAATAACTATGACGATGACGATATATATATATATATGCCACGATAGTGGCATCCTTACAACATTTTATGACATATTTTTCTTCAGTTTGTCTTACTTTTTTTTTTGTATATAACATCTACACTTCGAAATATACCTGCTATTTAAATAACATTAAGCATATATGTATTAATTAAATAATGTTTATATGTAACCTTGTAACTCATATTCTCAAATGGTGCTTTACATATACGAAATGAATATTCGAGATTACAATCCGACAACAAAAATTGTTAACAATGATTACTCAATTCCTATTCTGTTTTGCAATTCTATTATAATTTAAAGCAAGAACAGTGATTAAAGTGGAAAATTAACCCTAATAAGGATCCACTCTAGAAATTTTGCTTGCAATACTTAACCTGTAATTACCAATTAAAAATTTTGGAAGGCAATTTCTAATTTGTCTGAATAGCTTTCATTTCAAATGATTATTAATAATATATACAGAGGCAATATTTGCATATTACAGCCGCGTAATTTGAATATTATATTCGTAATAGTGCAACTACTTTAAATAATGAAACTTAAGTAATGCTTTTCGCCGTAATTAACTGTAAAATTAGTAGAAACAAAAAGGATCGACTACTCCAGGAGTTGATTTATCACTCATTGCATATACAACTGCTGATTATATTATGTATTAAAAAACTAAAATTTCAGAGAAAATATTGAAAACGATCAATCGCGTGATAAAACTTAATTTTTTTAACTGGTATTATTTTTTCATTCATTATCACTTCTCTCGTATAAAGATAATCGTACACGTAATGATACGCGTAGGGATTTTGTATTCTTTGGTTTTGTTATAAAACAAAACCAAACGGTGGAATGAGTTAAAAATAAAAGAGCATAATTCGCATTGGAGTTATGATTCGAAAGTCGATGGGAAAAGAAACTCTCTTTTCACCAGATTGGGATCGCGATAGTACTGCCCTTAAGGGCGGGATAAATGCTTTGTCTCTACCTGAAATCTTTTGGCCCATGTTCATGCCCCGATGGGGACGATAGTAGTGAGTGCGAGTAGGATGGTGACGGTGTTGGGCGCACTGTTTGGTGATGGGTAACTTTTGCCTCGTGTGCCTGACGTTTGCACTCAGGTGATACAAGTGGTGGTGGTGGTTGCTCGGGTGGTGGAGGTGGTGGTGATGGTGATTGCCCTGAGGCGCGGTGCCCACGCCACCGCCACCGCCGCCTACGCCTACTCCTACTCCTCCTCCTCCTCCTCCTCCTCCTCCTCCTCCTACTCCTTGGCCTCCTCCTCCTCCTCCTTGGCCGCCGCCGACGCCGACACCGACGCCGCCTCCGACACCGACTCCGACTCCGACTCCGACTCCGACTCCGATTCCGATTCCGGTACCACCGTTGCTACCCTCGACGACTCTCTTTGGGCTGCCCCCTCTGGGGCTACCTTGAGGGCTGATCTCGTCGTTGCCTACTCCGGCTACGACACCGGCCCCGCCGGCCCCGCCGACACCGCCTGCGCTTCCGCGATTGCGGATTCGCAGTAATCTCGCAGCGACTCCCGTGCCGCCGCCGCCACCGCCTCCGCCGCCTCCACCGCCGCCGCCGCCGCCGCCGCCTCCTCCTCCTATTCCTCCTCCTCCTCCTCCTCCTCCTCCTCCTCCTCCTCCTCCTCCTCCTCCTCCTCCTCCTCCTCCTCCTCCTCCTCCTCCTCCTCCTCCTCCTCCTCCTCCTCCTCCTCCTCCTCCTCCTCCTCCTCCTCCTCCTCCTCCTCCTCCTCCTCCTCCTCCTCCTCCTCCTCCTCCTCCTCCTCCTCCCCCCCCCCCCGCCGGCCCCGCCGACACCGCCTGCGCTTCCGCGATTGCGGATTCGCAGTAATCTCGCAGCGACTCCCGTGCCGCCGCCGCCACCGCCTCCGCCGCCTCCACCGCCGCCGCCGCCGCCGCCGCCTCCTCCTCCTATTCCTCCTCCTCCTCCTCCTCCTCCTCCTCCTCCGCCGCCTCCGCCCCCGGCTGCGCTGCCTACTCCTCCTCCACCACCGCCGCCGCCGCCGCGGCTACCGTCCCCACTCACGCAATGTATACTTTGGATATACCTGCAATACAAAAGCAATCAAAACATTATTATTACTGTTGTGCCTCCGGCGCAGACTATTGTCTGGCTTCTCATGCTAAGTGTAGCATCGTCCCCGTTCTTTTCGACTTTCCCCTTGAAACAATTAGTATTTTCAAGCTTGCACCTTCTTAAAGCGTCTGCACGACAGTCGCTTACTCCAAACAACTATCTTTCGAGCGGGCAACGACTATATTAATATCCGTGATAATTACTGACCTCCTTCGAGCACTTAATAGTGAATTTAGCTAGGGAGATGCACAGTTCGTTTGTTCGTACTAGCATCGTGAGGGTAACGACAGACTCAACGCTCAAGTGCTCCTCAAGTGGGATAAACGCCGTCCTTTTACGCAATTCGGCATTAGCAAGGCAAACGATATTTTCAAAATTATAAGCGTCGAACTAATATTAATTATCTAATGTCTTCACGAGGCAGTTTATCTATTGACACTGGACACACTTTAACAACTCGGGCGTCATTTCGCGTTGATTAAAAGAACTGCAATGCAAGAGAGGGGCCTCCCTCTCCCCAACGCCGACACCATTACTCTAACACTCTTATGATCCTCATCTTTTATCATGCCTTTGTCTCTGTAAAATGCGCTCACTAAAATGCGTTCGTTCGCCAGGCCCGTCGCGTTCTTTTGTAGTTAATGCATTATTTTGAGTTTTCGACCGCTGCCGCCACGTTTCGATCGATCATGATTTCCGGCTTCCATTTTAATCCACCCTCACTCCTATCGCGTGGCACACGGCCACCCGGTTCGCCCACTTCCATACCAGTTCAACACCGTGCGCTCTCATTTATTATTATTTCTTTTGTTTTGTTTTTGTTTCCTTTTTTTTGGCTTGCCTTTGTGTGCCTGTGTATGTATTTTCACCAAGCGTACGCCTATCGCCAGTGCGGGCCAAAACTCGTGTGCATTCTCATTATTCTGCAGATGACATTTCAATGTCGACTATCTGGGCTTCGGTGCTTGCATGTTTCGCATAATGCGCGATGTTGCCATTTTATTCGCACGATTGGGAAACAAGTCACTCTAAAAATGATTTAAAGGCACTACTGCTATTCGTCTCTTTATTCTATTGGCTATTAACGAGCGCCGATTATTCTTATCAATCCTTTATAATCGAATTTAAATGACTCACAAAATTTCAAACGGCAATATAATAATGATAGGCAAGCTTTGATTTATTTTGCAATTAGCAAATTCATTCGTGAAAATCAATTACATTAATGAAAAGGGCTAAAATTTATAGTTAACGAAATTTATAGCTAGGACGATAAATTGACAAAGATACAATTACTTACGGGCAATTAACTTTTATAAAATTATAAGCGAGCGCAATCCGATTAGCGTTTTATCGCATTTTTGCAGCGTGATAAAAAGATTAGATACTCAATGGAATTAAAGCATTTAAATGAACTCGGACTAGATTATAAATTTTTCTACTTGTCATGAAATATGCAGATATAGCGACTAAATTGAATTATTACGTATTAATAAAACTTAACAATAAATATCCGATCGTGAAGCCAAGCAGGAATGAAGCGATCGAAGTAGAAGGTTATGGTACTGTAGGACAGGACGCACCGGCAACTACGCAACAACCTCATTGTAAAGCTCGATAAATTTGCAGGGATTTGCACGCTGTGGTTATACGAGAGACTTTTTTTTTTTTTTTTAATTTCTTATCTATTAAATTTCGTTGATATATGCAGAAAAATTAAGGAAGACAGGTCTGCGGTATTTTTAAATCCGTGCGTTGAAGGTGAAACGAGCCTTGGCTTCGAATCATGTCACATTATATGAGTTGCTGATTAGAAAAGTCAAAAAGCTGAGTTAGTAGGAAAGGCGATAAATGAAAGAAGCGATGGGGGAGTAAGGGAAATGGCGATGGGTCTAGTCGCTTAGCGATTGCATTGAAATCGCAGAGCGCGAATGGCTGATGCCGCGGCAGTTGTTATGTCCGCCGCTGGTGGCGGTTGATTTCCGCTCAACCGAACCGGACACAGGGACCGCCCGGATCCTGCTCCAGTAATTTCATTGCCTTACCCGCGCGATACACGTACGCACGCGCACGTAGCACGCACGGACAAATACAGGCTCGGGCAAAACGGGAAGTAAATCACGTCCATTCGCATTCGCTTTGCGCTCTCGCTCGATTTAGCATTAAACATTCGCGAGCTTTGAGACATTTTTGGCAATATTTTAAGGAGCCGTTGGAAAATAAAGTGTAAGTTAGTACGGAAGCATTAACGCCTGCTGGGAGAATATGAAAATTTCAAATATAACAGCACATGTAGGCTATCGATCGAAACTAACAAAGCATTTAATGTTTCTACAACGAATTTTATGATTATCCCAAAGACGTTTGTTAAAATTACTATTTCCGTTCCATCTAGTCGTTCGGATTGCCGAGAATTAATATGGATGTTAATTTAAAAAATCTTCATAAGAAAATTATGATAAATAATGTTTTCCCATTCTTAATTATCGTATACGAGATTTAAAAAACAGCAAAAGAAAAACAACAAAAAAAAACAAAAAAAGAGCTGATGTTCAAAATATATGCAACTGCTAATTTTAAATACTTCAAGGTTATTATTAACATAATCCACGTCTTAATATTAATTTTATATTATATCGTAAAATGACAAAAATAGAAATAATAAACAGTTAATAAGTATATGTGGCGGGGATTCGTATTGTATTCATTTAGCTTCGATAATATAATGAAATTGTCAAGTGGCAGTTTACTGTCTCTTTATTAATGTAACCTTTTTCATGAATCGCAAAACACACCGTATCCTGGTATATCCTCGGAAAAAACTTTCATTATCAATATAAAGTAAAATTTTCAAATACAAATTAATATTCGTTAATCATAAATCTTTGAAAATATGCAGATACATTCATTTTAGAGTTCGACTTTTTCTATAAACCGAATACAAATGAGCCTATCTTAAAGAAGTAAACAAAAAATCGATCATAATTAATAGTTTCAACTGAAATTTGCCCAATATATACATATATATATATATATTCTCTGATTATTATTTATACAGTTCCGAGTAAATGCATAGTGCTCGTCTCAAATAAAATATGCAAATATATATGTCTAGCGAACTCGTCCAACGCTAGTTGTTAGTTAACTAAGTAAACTTATTATAATGAGATTGAAAAATCAATTTGTCATTTTTCTGTTATATACGTTAATATAAAAATTAATAAATTAATTATTAATACAACTATAATGTACAATATTTTTCGACCGAAGAATAACGATATTACGGATATTGATACCGAACGTACAATATGAGCCATAAATTCTTTTCGGCATTCTATCATGAAATATAGCTATGCAAGCTAATAATAATTTAATTTAACGATCTACGAATTGTAATACGCATTGTAGAAATGTCAACTGGCACACAAATAACAAAAGCCTCGATCGCTCAAAACTATTATGTACTCTAATGATTGTGCAAAATTCGATATTTTACCCTCTCATTAAATATGCAAGTTATAAATAGAGAAGCTGAGTATGTGCTTAAAATTTACGCAATAAACACGAACGACGTGGAAATAATGTTTCGTCAATGTGAAAACAGCATTGTATTAAAAATGCCGACTAAAGGGCGAGGGAAAGTAGTAGAGAAGGAAAGGATGATAGGAATATAAGAGAATAAATAAGGAAGCGCTCGTTTAATAGCTTAGAGCAGAGAGCTCAATAATTGCTGAATCGGACGCTTCGCAAGCACGCGGCCAATGTACGAGTGCATTCGCCGCGGAAGCCGCCTATAAAGCTGCAACGCGCCTCATGCATCTAGTTTCCGGTTTGGCCCCGCCTAGTTGACGAGCCATGGAACACGTCGTGGCTAGTCGAACTCCTGCCGATGTTGCAGTTTCGAACAGAATAATCATATCGCCTCTGCATTGCCCCGAGTCAAAGGGACCAAGTTACAAGCGTATCGCTTATCGATACTCGATGTCATAATTGCGCACCCGGTGGAAAATGCTGGAAAGGAAGGTGTGGGAGGGGCGTGTGTGCGTGCACAAGTATGCTCGAGTTGATTTCCAGAGATTTCAAAGTTTGTCGGTAAGAAGCTCGAGGCGGTACGCCGCCGTAAGGATTGTCGAGCTTTTCAAGCCACAACAATCGGTTCACAGCTGGAAGTTTACTCGGTTATTATACATCAATGCTAATGGCATGTTGTTATTAATATTATTGGAAGGTTATTCAATTAGTCTAAGCTTCAAAATTTACCGCTCGCTTAAATTTGGAAATTGGTTAATGCAAAATGTCGTTGGAATAAGAAATACCTTCCTGTTAAAATAGAGGTCCAACTCCAAAAGTTAATTTTACCACCTCCTTCCTCCCTGCAACAGCCATATCCCGATCGCTTTACATTATCTGCCCCCCCCCCCCCTAGAAATCTGCTTTTAATGGAGTACTATGCTAAAGAGGATCATCTATTGAAAGATAGATAAGAAGGGTA